GTGCCTCTTTCAAAGACAAAATCAACTGGAAAAGTGATCCCTAGGTGTTTTTGCAAAAATGGGGATAGTTTAAGGGGTTTTCTGTCAAAAAAAAAGTTCAGGGGGATTTTTAGGGAGAGAGAGTAAAGTTTAGGGGGGTTATATGCACTTTACCTAAATATTATTCAATCATTGTGTGATATCAGCGATATGGAAGATATTTCTTCTCGTTGGTAAAGAGATAAGTATTTTTTACACATGCGTGAGTTTTGAGGCTGATAAAGTTAAAAAAAAAGAAAAGAAAAAATGACTACTAAAATTTTCATAAAAGTACTAAATTACCTTGATCAAGATTAATTTTAAAAAATTCATAATTATTAGAAAATTTTGCATGATACTACGTATACAAAGGGATCAAACATAAATTTTTATAGCTCCGCAAGAATTTTATTAATTAACCCAAAATCATGTGATCCATGATTCGGTAGTACCTACACCATTAAGGCTAATTTTCTCTTCAAGAAAAGTTATTAATGTACAATTCTATTTAACATCTTATAGATTAATACTAATAACTTAACACGCATATTTTAATAAAAAATAAGTTCTTTAAGCTTAAAAAGTATTTCTAGCTAGTCAGTTAATAATATATATATATATATATATATATATATATATATATATATATTTTATAACAAAAAAATAACTTATCCATTGGCTACTTTGAACTCTCAGATCGATGGCTTGCATACTCGAATGCTCAATTTTAAATAAGTAATAAAGTAAGGAGTAATATTTTAACTTAATAAATTCAAAATATAAGATATATATATATATATAAGTGTAAAGAGTTTCAGTATTTCAGTATTTAGGTATTTATTTATTAATATAAAAAATATTTATAAATTAGTATAAAAAGAATTTTTAAAAGAATTTCTATAAAACACTAATACAAATTACTTATTTATTATGAATTTTTTAAATTATTTTTAATTAATATAAATTGTTTGGAAGAATTTCTATAAAATTCAAATTACCTATTTATTATGAGTTTTTTTATTTCTTAATTAAAGAGTTTCTATAAAACTCTACCTCACAACACCTATCTTATTATATATATTCATATATTGCCTAAATTTTTATTTTCTATTTTTAAAAGAGCTTCATTGATTTGTTGAGTATTATTCACTACTAAATAAATATTAGTAAATTGTAATAAAAAAAATTGTCTTAATTTTGATATTATTTTAGGATTTTGAAAATACACCTACCAATAATTGAATTCTGTTTGCAAAGTTCAAATAAAAATTACGATCTTTATCTCTTTTAGGATTTTAATTATTGTCTAAAAAATTAATTATTTAATTACCTTATTAAATATAAATTCTTAATTAGATGGTATTTGAAAGAGTTCCTATAAAACTCAAATTACTTGTTTATTATGAGTTTTTTTTTTTTTATAATTAATATGAGGTATTTAAAAGAGTTTATATAAAAGTCTACCACAGAACACCTATCTTGTTATTATATATATATATATATATATATATATATATATATATATATATTGCCTAAGGTTTTTATCTTCTCTTTTTTAAAGAGTTTTATTGATTTGTTGAATATTATTCATTACTAAATAAATATTAGTAAATTGTAATAAAAAATTTTGTCTTAATTTTGATATTATTTTAGGATTTATACACCTATCAATAATTGAGTTCTATTTGAAAAATGGTTATCTCTTTTATCTTGTGTCAATTTTATATTGATTGATCATTTAATAAATTAGTGTGATTATTAGTTTAAAAAGTTAGTTTTAATTATTGTTTTAAAAAATAATTATTTAATTACCTTATTAAATATTATTTTTAAATTAGGTTTTATTCACGTGCAACGCACGTACCATTTTACTAGTACATATATAGTTGAATGTATAAATTTCAATTGCTTAACAAGTAATTCCCTAGGAGTGGATCTAGGCCTATTTCATCTGGACTAAAAAAAAAAAAAAAAAACTACTCAATTCAGTACTTAACTATGAATAAATGTTTATTGAATTAAAATACAATTATTAATAAATTTGAATATCACCAAATATAAGTGTCACTAAAAATTTGTTAAAACGTTAAGTAAAATTAAATTCTGTTATCAATAAACGCCAAAATTTTAAAATTAAAAAAATAAATATAATATATTTATATATATATATATATATTTATTTTACCAAATAATTTAGCTCTTAAAATTTTGGGTGATTAAAAAATCTACAAAGTTCTACTATTTCTCAATTTAGACTCTAATCTATTTGATCAAGAAATTTCTAATTTTTTTATAGATAAATGAAAGACAAATTCAACTATGAAGAATGTCTTGGATCTAATTCTCGTAGTTCTCAGATCGATTAATGTAATTCTCGGGCTGATGACTTCATACCCTTAACAAACATCCCGTTTTTTCATCCCATGACTTCAAATATGAAACTGAAATATACTTTTGACAAACGTACAACAAAACCAAACCTAATATCATTATCATCAGCATCTGCATCATTCATCTTATACAGATGTGGAAAATAAATAAATAAACAAATAGATCTTCTACATATGTGAAAATAAATAAATAAATAAATCTTCTACAAAATATTTATCTCCTACGGAAATAAGTATTTAATAATTGTCGGTACGAGTTAGTTTCATTGGTTCAAGAGCTAAATACGAGATTTCTTATCCGAAAATTTATCTGTGAGTTACAAATTTAAAGGACCAATAACAAGGGTTCCCACGTCATTACTATTAATTTCCTTTAAAAAAGTAAATACATAGATACATGAATGTGAGTATCTGATATATATATATATATTATAATTGGACTTAATTCAATATAAATATACCGTGCATGGTGTCTTCATATTGGAATCTCCTTTACAACAGTACCAGTAATGGAATTAGGTAAATAAGGGTACTTTAGTCATCTCCCACTGGCAGAGGAAAAAAGAAGTTCAAAAAGTCTCATGCACCTTTGCCTCGCCTTTTTAATTTCATTATAGGCCCACCTTGGTCAAAAAGCTGACTTTTATTACTTTTCCAAGCACTTCACTTGCACAGTACACATTAAAATACGGTGGACCTGATGTCAATCATCACTAATGGAATTTGCCCAACATGTCACTAGTTCAATGGATCAAAAATATCATAAGTTTAAAATTGTCCCCCCAAAAGTTGCTATCTAATGGTCCAAATACAGAGTTTACGCGGGATGCAGTATATGAGATTTTTGTTATTGTAAAGTTTGGGAAAGATTAGATGCACACGACTTTATTTTTAGTTAATGAATTATTCTTGATTTCAAAAACATGATTTGATGTCATAATGAAATAATCTTATCGTTATGTTATTTAACGATAATAAATTTGAATTTCATGTTGTAATATTTATTTTGAGCTTTAATAAAAGAATAGTATAATGATACCTTGATATTTGGAAGGAAAGAAAAGATAACAAGGTTAGTTAATATGGATTGCAAACGGATAACATTGTTTTTTTTAAAGAAATTGTAATTTAGTCTCATTTATTGATTATTATAACGTTTGCCACACACTAATATAGTCTAATACTCCGTATATTTTAAGGTTGACATAGGACTTAGTGGAAGAAATTTAATATAGAAGGCCAGTTTCTCCGAAGGGTTGGTGGTTTTTCTTTAATGTCATGAAGGTTTTCACATATTGCCTCTGTACATGGTGATTGATTCCCATGTCTTATTTTTTTATTTATTATTTATTTTTTTATTATGACAATGAATTTTGAAATAATTAAAGACTTGATGCAGTGGCAAAAGCTCAGGTTGACTTCGAAGTTTTAAATTTCACTTTTATTGGATGCAAAAACAGTTGTTTTTAAATGATTTCCACAACATGGTTTTCCGATACGCAATCATTTTTCAAATCCGATATGCGATTCGTATCGACTAGTTTATACTGATTTTGTCCGAATCCGTTACACCATTACTGTGACCGTAACCAATACTGTGAACCATAATGCACAGAATTGTAAAAATTCAAAATTTATCTTGCAGTGTATCAGTACTCTCCCTGAGGCAATGGCAAGGATCTGGCCTAGCAGTGGACTCACTTCTTGTGAAGGGAAAAAAACACACAGAAAGAACAGGAAAGAAAGGAACAGCAAAAGAGGATGATAAAATGTCTCCATAGCATCACATGTATAGGGTCCCATAACAACTCATCTTATGCAGAAAATGTGGCCTTCCATTGTTGATAACAACAATGAGATATCTGTATGTCTCATCCTTGGCTGATCATTCAGAGACAAACATGTCAATCCAATCTTGATACATCCAAGCAAAGTATGAACACCAATTCACAGATATGGTCAGTTAATGCAGATCATGATACATCTATGATTTTTCCTATAGATTCCAAACCAAATAAAATGCGAGAGCAACAGGAAAAAGAAGGCAAAAAGAGGAGAAAAAGATCAACTTTATCCTGAATTTTGTGCCTTTTTGCATTAGTTGTTTAGATCCTTTTATGCTTTGAAAGAGAAAGGTCCTTGGCTCTTTGTGACACAAATTCAAGTTTATCCTCACAACCGAGGGCCTACAAATATATATATTTTTCTTTTTTACTCTGCCCCAGTTACAATAATATTTCCATTCCGGCCCTTTGATATATTGTCCATGATTTTAATGCAGTGGCACCATTCAAAGTGATGCAACCAATATATATATATCTATATGTGTATATATATATATATACAATGTGGGCGGGTAATAGCACAACGGTAAGGCTTGTCCATGATTTTAATGCAGTGGCACCATTCAAAGTGATGCAACCAATATATATATATCTATATATATATATATGTACACAATGTGGGCGGGTAATAGCACAACGGTAAGGCTGCTTCATTGCGACCTGGAGGTCACGAGTTCGAAACAGAAAACAGCCCCTCTACATGCATAAGTAAAGCTGTGTATATCACGAGCCTATAACTTTGCATGGGTACTGCTTGAAAAGAAAATCCTGATTTAGATTCACATCTTATTCCAAACATTACTGTTGCATCCAAAAATCTCTTTGATTATTCTACCACCAACAATCTTGTATATATATGTACAAGAACACTTATCAGCAAACTATCTAAGCTCCTTCCAAAAAGCACTACTCTTACTGTTGTGATAAAAGATATAAAATGTAGCTGCTAATTGAGCATATTAGAGACAGCTCCTCTTACATCTAAGTTGCATTGCTTCACACACAGATTCCTCCAGGGAAGTTGGTAATCAACATGGTCATATGGTCAACAGTGGTTCTTCGACTTCCGGTTTCGGGAGTTAGCAAGAAGCTGTTGCCATTATAGAACATTTACGATAACATTTCAGCTGTCATTAACTATGTGCTCTCATGGAAGTTGCGTGACCGAGACAAGGCTGCAGGGTTGGCTTGCAATACTGGAGATGTTTCGGCTACATGATTTTTCTCATGACCTTTTGATTGGAATGCCCTAAAGAGACCTCCCCCACTAACCGAATCAGTCTTCTCATTCTTAATCCCGAGTGTTGACCATATAGAGCTTTTTGCAGCTTCATTTGGATCGTCAATCCTCAAAGTCTTTGGAATCACAATACATCTCTCAGAATTGTTTACGTTTGAGGGCTCTTTTGTCACTGTGTTTGATGGTTGAATCATGTTACCATCCCTTGAATGCTTCCCTAGGGTTGGAGAATTAGGACTCGAGCTCACACCAGAGTGGTTAGGCAAAGAAGGTGGCAAGGAAAGCCATGGCATACTCCAAGGACCTGGTAGACCCCAATAAGGTGGCGTGGGATAAAATTGCATGGGAAAGCCAGGAGGGCCAAAAGCAGGTGGAGGAATTGCAGACATCCATTGTGCTGGATTCCATGGACAAGGCCAAGGAGGTCCCGGGAAACACGGTACTTGAGGAGGAAAGCTTTGATAATTCTTCAGAAGTGATTCTTGTAAACCGACATTTCCTCCCTTCTCTACTGAATTTGAAGCTGTCACTGAAGACACACACGAGTACTCATCCCCATTCCGTCTCCCTCCACAAGAAACAGAGATCCCCTGTTCATATCCATGAAGCCCATTTGGGACACAATTCTGTGATTTCTCAGCAATGTTTAATGCAGAAGCCATGGATTCACAAAGGGGTGCATCTGCGCCAAAAGTAAGTACATTGCCGTTGGTTCTTAAAGAAGGTTGGTGAATCCCATTTGAAGCATCAGCTCGAGCTGCTTGGAAAGCGTCTGAAACCATTATGTGACGATAATGTGAAGCAGGTGAGCTTTTGTTCTTACGACGACCAGAACCCACAGGCACATTCCTCATAGTTCCTCCTGCAGTCCAGTACCGCTGACAGTTTTTGCAGAAGTGACGGGGCTGGTTAACATTGTAATTGTTGTAGTAGCAGAACTTGGTGTCCATGCTATTACATCTAGGACAAGGAAGAATCTTATCAGGCTTCTTCAGTGTCTTCTCTTGTGAGATATTAGTATCACTATGTTCCTCATTCTTGGAAGATTTCGGTGACAAAGTTTCGCTGCCAACAGATGGTGTTTTAGGGTTCTCACATGATGTTGGTAGATCAACTAACTCCTCTGCAGTAGGGGGGCCAGAACTCTCTTCCTTTTTACTTCCAGTTAGTTCACTTTCTGAAGGTTTCTGAAATTTTTAGAATTACCATTTACTAATAAGATTAGCAACATTGTAGGAGTAATACAATTCAAAAGATAATATAGAGCAATTAACGCCTCGGGAAACAAAGATCTCATGCATTCCTTTTCCTCGTTAGCTACTGATATGTAAATTTATCTCTTCCCTTTTGATTTCTTGAAAAGGTATAGGTAGTGTGCTCAATGATTTTGATTATATCCACATTGATTTAATCAAGACATAAATTTATTTAAAATTAGAAACCCATCAATGACCATATAAATTAAAATTGAGTAAATATTTGCAATGACAAAGAAAATAGTAGGAAAACGTAGTGAAAAATCTCAGAATTTCTTCAGATATGAAGGAGAGAAACCAAGAACATCAGAGCTACCTAACCAAGCTATTTTAAGAACAACATATATAGCAACTAATCCCTTTAGGCAAAAGATACTTAATTCCGTGAAAAACATAACCGTAATCCAAAATTGAAGAAATTTAATCCCGGAGAAGATCATTTAAAATTGGAAGTCAATCTGAAAATCAATGTCTATATCTATCAGAAACTGGTGTATCTGATATTGTCTGAATTCATGACAATTTCTAATGTATCAAGTCCGATGAGATTGACTTGATTGACATAGCTGGATCAGCACTTAGAAACAAAACACGCAAAGGATCAAGGATTCAAAGATTAGGAAGCTAAGGTATGTCAAATCACTACAATTAGAGGATTTTCGAACACTTAATCCAAAGCCTTCCAGATATCCCTCTAAACTATCTTCATCTTGTTGAGAATTAAACAGAAATCAACTATGAAAGCAGAGGAAAGCCGATGGATCGCTTGGCAAAATTGGTCCAAAAAGCCAAGGACAATTCAATAAAAAACCAAAAACAATTCAATCACTCCAAAAATTTTTTTAAAAAAAGGATAAATCTTTCATTTCTAAAACAAATGTAGAGAAAGTTTAAAAATTGTTTTTGATGATTACAAAATAAACACCTGAGAGTTTTAATCGATTATGAAATAACCTTCGTTAGTTACTTGAGCATGATCAAATCAAGCCCCAAAATTTTGATTTAATTTTAAAAATGTCCAACAAAATTAGCAGTCAAAAACCCTGTTAAGACCCTCAATTCCCATAATGATCATATTTAAAGTAACAAAACAATTGAAAAAAAAGAAGGAATAATCAAGAAGAAACGTCAATCTATAGAAAGTATTGGAATTTGGGGTTGCTCTTAGAATTGCAGACAGCTAATAGCAAAAACTCAAACTTGAAAACTAAAAGGTTTTCACAAAATGAAAATGAAATCCAAAAAGCACAGAGAAGGTAAAATCGACCCATTTTTAGTTTTTCATCTATGAAAAGTGGGTAGTTCCTAGAAGTTCATATAATTGATGCCAATAAATATACCTATATAAAATGAAAATGAAATACAAAAAGCATATAGAAAGTAAAATCGACCCATTTTTAGTTTTCTATTTATGAAACTTGGGCAGGTCTTAGAAGAACACATAATTGATGCCAATATATATATACATACATTTATTTTTTTATAACTCAATACCTTGTTGTCTTCTTGAGACTCTCCGAGTGAGTTACAGTTTTTATCCTGAGAAGAAGTGATTGAATTGGGCTGACCCGAGGCTTCCTCGTTGGGCTGTAATGGAATCGTCTTCCCAAACAGCTTGATCGCTGGGTCTTTTACTTCTGACATTCTTCTTCTACCCTTTTCCAGCACCCTCACTTTCTCTCTCTAGATGAAGTCTCTCTCTAGTCCTCTAAGGAGGGTGGAGGGAGGGACGACCCGATTCGTCGTCGTTTGGATCGTCTATAGTTTGGTTGGAGGGGACGAATGTTTTTTTGATTTTGGTGGGTATAAGGAAGTGGGGGCACGCCAGGTCAGCAGATGAAGTGAATTCTGAGCCACAAGTTCTTTGTGGCCTTAGAGATCTTTCTTTGGAGGCTTTGTTTATTGTTTGATTCCAACATTTGTCAAAAGAAAGTGCCCTACAATTTTTGTCCATGTCAGCGTTCCCTTCCCCATTCTATGGCTCTTCCACCCGGTAAGAAAATCTCATAAGAACAGTAAATCACATTCAGTCCGTTTTATAATAAATTTTTTAATCTTTTTGTAAGGTAAATTTCAAACTAGGCATATCAAAAATTATTCTTTTAGGGTAGAGGATCCGAGTTCCTTTTATACCTCTCATATATTGCTTTCTCGTTCAATTTGAAGTGTTCCATAAAGTATAAAGTATTTCGAAAGTACTAATACATAATATCTTGAACAGGAATACTACGTTTAAAATATCCTTAGGTATTTATATACTTTCTCAAAAGAAAAATAATATTTATGCCTAGTAATTGTAGTAAATTTTCAGACTTATTATTTTTAATTAGTCATTTATGTAATAAATAAGGAAGAAAAGCCCTCCATTTACTTGTATTTTACGTAAATAACTAATCAAAACCATTTGGTTAGACATTCAGTGCAATTCTTCAACCTGGATTTCACTACTCTTCTCGAAGTAGGCATAGGTACATCCCGGTAAATTACTTTCTCGGTCATTTTGAAGTGCTCAAAGGTACATTATGGGGTGTACACAATTCATATTGGACCCATTTTGACTTATTTTGAAATTAAGTTGATTTTAAGTGCTTTCATCAAAATTAGAGTCGAATCAAAATGTAAAATCAATGAAATCAAATCAAGAAAAAACATTTTAGTTCTATGCATCTATATACTTTTTTTATAATTCAATTTAATATATATATATATATATATATATATATATATATATATATATTATAATGTATTTATATAATGGTCCGATTTGGTTTGGTCCTGCATGACCTCAAGCCAGAACCAAGCTATTTGTAAACCATCCATGTGTTTGGAACTGAGATGGAACCAAATAGTGAAAAAAAACTTTACCAAATCGACTTGTCCGATTTGGTCATGTCCAGTTAACTGGTTCAATCTGAATTCTTTACACCACTAGTACATTATTAAATAGGAAAATGATAGGAGTCCGTATTGATTGTTATTATAAAAACAATATGTCATTTATTGAGATAAATACTCTAATGTGGGAGAAAAATTAAGAGAGAGCCTATCGATCGTCAACTATGTTTGGTTTAAGTAAAATTTTTACTTTCATTTGGCTCATGTATTAGTTTCTGAGAATTGTATTTAAAAGAGCCGTTTAATGTTAGACCATGTTTTAGTTTTAATGCTAAACCAGTTTTTTAGTTTGTTTGGAGCCTTTTTAATGTTAGAACAATTTTTCAGTTTTAATGCTAGACCAGTTTTTTAGTCTGTTTGGCTAAAGATTTGATGGAGCTCTTCTATTATTACTGAAATAACTAGTTTGCCCTTAGGTGAATATTTCTTTTTAGCGTTTTGACACCATAAAATAGTTTTAACCTACTTTTTTTATATAATTTTATTCAATGTAATCAAATTTAATCCAACATGAAATAAAATGTTAGCATTAGTCCCCTCCGTAACAATTTTATATGAAAAAACTCGCATATCAGTATTATCATCACTTGTGACTGGAATATCAGATTCACCAATGGTCACATAATCATCATTTTAACCATATTGTCACACTCCGCCGAAAGAAGTTGGCACCACGCGAGTGCAGAGGATGAAGAGGAGGCTGATAAGGACTCTGCGTGTGGTCTGCTTGGGAAGCATGGAAAATTATATTCTCAAGTCTCTCATAACTGCGAGAAGTGTTGGGGATTCTAGAATGTTGCAGTGGTGTATACATGAACAAAAAAATATTCTAGAAGAGTGAAGAGTTGAAGTTGATTTGTAAATATCGGGAAGAGATTTTTAAAAAGTGAATGTTAAATTCCATTGGAGATGCAAGGAGTTGACACGTACTCATTTGATTTTTGCTGATGATGTGATGCTCTTCTGTCATGGGAGTGTCCCTTCTGTGCACTCACTCCTTATGGCCACTAACACCTTCTCTAGCCTCTCTAGACTCCATGTCAACCATAGCAAGAGCCAGATTTTCCAATCTAGTGTCCCATCCTCAGTGGAGTCCACTTGAGAGAGGTGCTCACCCAATTAGATACTTGGGTGTGCCACTGATTTCCACCATGCTGAAAGCTGTTGATTACAGGGCATTGATTGACAAGGTCACAGCTAGGATCAGACACTGGTCTAGCAAATTCCTTTCTTTTGCAGGAAGAGTCCAGCTCATTAGGTTCATTCTTCATAGTACCCACACTTATTGGAGTACCAAATTCATTCTCCCAATGAGTGTGGTCAATGAGCTTACTAGCATATTCAAGGCCTTCCTATGGACAGGGTCAGAGCTCAAAGTGCATGGAGCTAAGATCAAATGGCCTTCTGTTTGTCTTCCTAAGAGGGCTGGAGGTCTAGGGTTGCCTGCACTTCACACGTGGAACATGACTGCCATTATGATCGAAGCACTTCTGGAATATCATTACAGAAAGGAAGGGAATGTTTTGGATTACATGGATCAACACCTATCTCCTAAAAGGCAGGAGCATTTGGGAGGTGGACATCCCAAGCCAATGCTCTTGGACTTGGAGGAAGTTGTTGCAGCTCAGACATGCCATCAAACTTCTTGTCAAACTAGAAATTGGTAATGGAATGAATTCCAATTTTTGGTATGACAATTGGTCTAATCTTAGACCACTGCACCCAAGGGTTACAAGACAGCAACTCTTATCCTCCAGCTATGACAACACAGCACCAAGGTCAGTGCCTTTATCTCCACTTCATCATGGTCTCTTCCTACCACCATCACAGAAGTTATTCCCCAGCTGCTCCTACATAACCTACTACCCCAACCAAACTCACAAACCAATGATAAGCTACTTTGGATTCCATCTCCATCAGGCAAATTCTCCATTGCTCATACCCTCAAATACCTTACACAACACAACACATCCCCTCTCTACCCTGGACACACCTAGTGTGGACCAAACTAAGCATCCCAAAGCACTCATTCATGTTATGGCTAGCTATCCAGTCAAGATTCTCTACATTAGATAGGGATTGCACAGCCTTACTAAATAGCCCAAACCTTTGTCATCTGTGCAACTTAGTTCCAAAATCTCACAACCACTTGTTCTTCCAATGCACCTTCCATTCTCCCATTTGGACATCTATTCAAGCACGTTACGGATTCCACATTCTCCCATCCTCGTGGAACAACTTAATAGCATAGGCAGCTCATCATTGGAAAGGGAAAGCATCTGATTATAGAGCACATGTCTCTCGTTTAGCATTATCCTCCCTTGTTTACAATATCTGGTCAGAGAGAAATCGCAGGATCTTTAAAAGGAAGAAGCTGTCAGCCAACTCAATCCTTAGCAAAATCTTGGATTCAGTCCGATTCAAACTGTTGGCTGATCCACCAATTGATTCACCAATAAACAGAAGAATTGTTTGCGAATGGGGCATTCCTTGCTCGATTCTCCGTCGTCCTCCAAGACCACCAGATTAGGAAGATGATCTTGTTGATGAAGCGCGTAAAAGTTTGCTGCTTCACTTGGATACCAATGCCTGCTAGCCTGCTACACCGGAATGTGGTTAACTGTCATGTGTTAGTTACTCTGTTGAGATACTTTGTATTTGGGGCTGTACTTGGGCCTGGGTTGTATGAGTTTGTTGGGATGTAATTGGGCCAGGGCCGGACTTTGTAATGTATGGGTTACTCTACTAGCCTTCCTCACGCTTTGTATTATCATTATTTACATATATATATAGGAGTCCATATTGATCGCTATTATCAAATAATTAATATGACATTTATTGAGATAAATACTCTAATTTGGAAGAAAAATTAGGAGAGAGCCCATCTTTTAACTATGTTTGGTTTAAGTAGAATTATTACTTTCATTTGACTTATGTATTAGTGTATGAGAACAGTACTTAAAAGAGCCTTTTAATGTTAGACCAGTTTTTTAGTTTTAATGAACAATTTTCCAGTTTTAATGCTAGACCAGTTTTTTTTAATCCGTTTGGCTAAAGATTTTATGAAGCTCTTCTATTATTACTAAAATAACTAGTTTGCCTGAGTATTTTTTTTAGCGTTTTGACGCCATAAAATAGTTTAACCTATCTTTTTATACAATTTTATTCAATGTAATAAAATTTAATCCAACATGCCATTTATAAAAATAGTTTTTTTTAAAAAAATCACTAATTCTATATCATCATCAATACAATGAAATAAAATGTTTATAGAAGCATTAGTCACGCAAGTAGCAATTTTATATAAAAAAACTCGCATATCAGTATTATCATCACTTGTGACTGGAATATCAGATTCACCAATGGTCACATAATCATCATTTTCACCATATTGTCACACTCCGCCAAGGCACCACGTGAGTGCAGAGGATGAAGAGGAGGCTGAGAAGGACTCTGCGTGTGGTCTGCTTGGGAAGCTTGGAAAATTATATTCTCAAGTCTTTCATAACTGTGAGAAGTGTTGGGGATTCTAGAATGTTGCGGTGGTGTATACAGTAACAAAAAAATATTCTAGAAGAGTGAAGAGTGAAGATTTGAAGTAGATTTGTAAACATGGGGAAGAGATTTTTAAAGAGTGAATGTTAGTACTTGAATCTCGATTGTAATGCATCCTAGTGTACACTAGGGAGGAGGATGTCTATAAATATAGTAATCTCATTTCTAGTCAACAACTCTTAAGATGTAAGTGGAGAGCTCATAGGAGAGTGTGAGAGTTTCCGTGCATCATTGAAGATATGTGATAATTCATTATTTGATGTTAGTCGTGAATCTAATCTTCTTTAAATTTTCAGGTAAAATAATAATAAATACAAATACAAAATTTATTGAGAGGCT